TAAGTGTAAGTGTAAGTGTCGAGGTGTATGTCCGTGTCGTGTGTGTGTATATGTATTAGTATCTGTGTCTGTGTCTCTGTGTATTTCTATGTGCATGCTCAGTAATCCATGCACCTTGATGAGTTTGCTGAGTGTGTGTATGTAACATTAAAGGGTTTATATGGGACCTATAATAGTGTGCGTGTGTGTGCAGCATCGCATCGCATCCCATTGTGGATAGCCATTGCTTCGTGATAGAGCACACTGAGCTCAAGGCCATGTCTTGTCTCGTAAAGTGCTATTTACTGGTGGTATGCGATAAGAAAGTGCTCACAAGATTCAGTCACCTCCAACCCCTGCTGATGCTGGGACAAACCTATGAAGCACACACCTTAAGAGGTTAGAGATGAACAACAGACATATAAGTCATAGAGCCCAGGTGAACACTTGACGCGTACAGTATAGAGGTTATCAAAGTGCGCAGTACTCCCTATTACGCAATAGGCTGGTACGTAACCTGTGTAACTAGACTGACACTCAGCAGCAGCACGTTCGACCACCACCATTACCCCTGACAACTAACCTCTGACACCCTTCTCCTGTACACGTGGTTGTAGTTAAGTTTAAGGAGTGCATGGATCTGATGCTCATGGGTGTGCTGCAGTCCGTGTTTCAGTGCTTCAACATACCATACGAGGAGAACGACATGGACAGAGCTGTATGTGGCGACCATTACTCTTGTGTGTGTGTGTGCGTTGGTACGCGTGTGTGTATATTATGTGCGTTTTAGTCGGATGTGTATGTGTACGTATGTTTGTGGGTGTGTGCGATGGTACGTGTGTGTATATAATATGTACGTTTTTGTCGGATGTGTATGTGTACATGTGTGTGTGTGCGTATATTTATGGGTATATTCCGATGTGGATATTCGTGTATTTGTACGTGTACATGTATGTATGTATGTGTGTGTTTGTTTGCATGTATATAAATGCGCGCATGCGTACGCGTACATATGTGTGTATGTGCAGAAGTGTATGCACATGTCTATAAGTACACTTGAGCGTAGGCTTTTGTCTGTCTGCGCTCATGCGTATGTATTCTTTCTCTTATACCAGCGCGTGTTCTATGCAACTACTAAGGTGGCGTATACATTTGGCCTTCCTTGCATATCACTAGCTTCCTTGTAGTAGCCACTTATGTGTCGACTGTCTCTATACGCCTGGCCGCTTTATTACTGTGAAATAAGGGAAGCTCAATGTGACTACGTATATATGTACGGCGTTTGCTGCATGTCTGTGTTCTGTATGCCTTCTACTGCACATTTGTCTTCTACGCTGAGTGTAGATGTATGCGCGAGTGAGTGATTGCTAGCACCAATCTAATTATACGCGTAATCTTGATGCCATGCATGTGCTGCGTTTGTTCCATTTTTAGGATCACCAGTTTTAAG